GAGCAAATGTTTTGAGAATGATGAGGGCAATGAATGTACAAATGTGCTTTACACAATTGATGTATGGATTGTGATGAGTTGTATGAGCCCATAATAAAATGATAATTATATATAAAAATGGCCATCAATACATGAACAAAAGGTTCAAACAAATTCTTAATACATAAATAAACAGATCACTTGAAGATGAGTCTATACAGCAAAGTGTGGTGAAAGAAAAACACAAATGGTGCCTGATGATCAGAAACAATAGCGGCTGGGGTCTTAAATAAAGGCTTGTCCTAAAATAAGCAGCCACCTAAGTGAGGCATCACACAGAAGCAGCACATCAGCCGTGTGATTCAAAGATTGTAAGTAAGTAATTCCAAATTTGAAGGAGGGAGCAGTCTTAAGAGCTTAAATTGTGAATACCTGGTTTTGCAAAGGCTACAGACAACAGTGAATCCACTTGTAGGAGCCCACATTAATTAAGACTCCAGTTAATCCCCTGAGACCATGTACCAGGGATGGGAATGGCCTTGTCAGATTGAGTCCATTGTAAGGTAGATTAATGCAAATGAAGTTAGGTTAAAATGTGACACCTTGTTATTTGATCTCCCTTTTGATCTAATGTGTACTCCAGTTTTTAATATTTTGTTTTCTTTACAATTGAGGTTTTTCCTCTGTTTCATTCTGTCATTGTGGTTGGACTGTTGTTTTATTGTTTTGTTTTGATTTAGTATCTTTTTCTGTATATGAAATCCAGAATAGGAAAATCTAGAGAGACATTAACTGGATTAATAGTTTCCTTGGGGTATGACAAGGAAGTTTAGCGTGAAGAAATGAGAAGCTGACAACAAATACAAGGAAGAAGAAATGTCCTAAAATTGGTTGGCCATAATTACACAGTTTTAAAAATGTGATTGAAATGTACAATATGTGAATTATATATCAATAAAACCTTAAAAATATGCTTGAGGTCAATTAACTTTTTCTCTGCTTGGATGTGATTCTAATTTGATTATTTTTATTAAAATAAAAATGAATACTTTAATAAAATAAAATTGATTTTTTTTTTTTTGGCAGGAAATCGGAGATAGTGGATCTCTCAAAGTGGTGCACTTTGGTCTGGTGTGAATAAGCTGCCTTGTTTCTTTACTTCAAAAAAACATATCTTCACCATACTAATTGTGGCAGTTAGGGTTTAAGAGTTGAGTCCAACCTGTCACTCAGGCAGTGGCCTGATGATACCTCTTTGAAGTATAGCCTTTTTATAAGAGAGACAATGGGAAATTCTCTTTCTCTCTCTGCTCCTTCACCCTCCCCCTCCTTGCTGGGACTCTGTCTGCCTCCAGGGGTAGCCCTATGTGGGCCACTGACTCGCGGAACCAACCTGGGAGCTGTGGAAGCCCTACCACGTTACCACTGACCTTGGATCCAAGCAAAGCTGCACTCACCATCCTGTGCTCTTCTACTTCATGTTTCTTCATCAGCAGCCTGTAGCTGCATGCGTCTGAAGAGGACTCTGGCTCTGACTTGTGTTGGACTGGTCTGGGATGCCTTCTTGATATAAAACTACTTGTTAATATAAAGTTCTTTCTTATACATATTAAAGAAAAAGAAACATGTCTTTTCATATCTAAAGTTTTTCCTGGCCTGATACTGATAAAACAATCTCCATGCATGGATGAAAAAGAAGAAAGACAGTATGAAATAGCTAAGATTTTAAAATTCAGTCTTAAAAACAAAGTTTTATTACTTTCAAAACTATGATGCACAATGGCAAAGTGACATTAAATAAGGCTTTCATCTTCTTTCTCAAACTGTGTATTAAAAAATACATAAACTGACTGCCATCAAGCCAATAGCAGCCCTACAGAACAATGTAGAATTTCCCGTGTGTTTTCCAAGATGCTAATTCTTTACAGGAGTAGAAAGCCGCCTTTTCTCCCGGGGAGAGCAGCCCAATGAATAAACACTATGCTACTAGAACTCCCCGTGCATTACTAGCTGCTTCAATATTAGTATATTTAAACATGGTTCTCCCATGAATTCTAAATATTTCCTTTTAAAAGATTTTTTTAATCATTTTACTAGGGCTCATACAACTCTTATCACAATCCATACTCACAATACATACATCCATCCATTGTGTCAAGCACATTTGTACATTTGTTGCCATCATCATTCTCAAAACATTTTCTTTCTACTTGAGCCCTCTTTTCCAATATATTTTTTTCAATCATTTTATTGGGGGCTCATCGTACAACTCTTCTAAACATTTCCTCTTAGAGTCTTGTTTACATTACTAATTTTCACTACGAATAAAGTATTTATTAAGCAAAATTCTCAGCCCACACATATTGTTGGGCATCAATTCTTGAATTTTTGCACATTTTACTATGAGACACAAACCGCCCCTTGGAACACAGCCCATCTGAGCAAAGTTCAGACATGCTTTTGCCCATTATAAAAGAGTTAAGTTCAAAGTTCCTCTCCTGCACAGCCATATAGTGTGAGACATTAGCTGGCCCTCTTTGCATCTCCCTGTTGGGATGAGACTTAGGTGATTAACCCAAGAAAAATGCTACGAGTCTGACTGCTGTTACTGCTCTGATTAACAAACTGTCCTTTGTCTTTTGTCTCAGACCCAGAAGTCATGTCTCCTTCCGTCAACATCCATGAAAACAGAGCACAGTAATGTGTTAACTGAGAAGTAGGCTAAAATCTCATGTTCACGGTTTTTTAACATCTATTCACGAGGAGGTTGAGAGTATTTTATAATTAGTAGACATTTACAATAATAGACTTTTCAAATACTGTGTACAAGTTAAATTAGTTAAATTTTGCAGTTAATTAAATTGGAGGCTTTTAGATTCTTCCTGAGCCTCTACCAGAGGATATGATTTTTTAAAGTGGAGATGAAACTCAATTTAGAATTTTTTTCAAATTGATACCACTCTGAAGACAGTTTTAGTAATGCATAGTACCATGTTTCCCCAAAAGTAAGACATACCCCGAAAATAAGACCTACTTAGTTTTGCCTTTCACTGAAATATAAGGCATCCCCCCGAAAATATGGTACCCCTAAGCTACTGTAACTCTGGATTCTGGACCGTAGCAGTGGGCGCTGCCGCACAGCTCACTGTTGGCCGCAGAGCAGACAGGAAGTGCAAGGTCTCTTTTAATAAAACAATAAACAATAAATGTGTACCGTATTCTTCTTCATGGAAAAATAAGATATCCTCTGAAAATAAGACCTAGCGCATCTTTGGGAGCAAAAATTAATATAAGACACTGTCTTATTTTCAGGGAAACAGGGCATGTAAGCCACACTAAAAAGAGATGCACACTTTCCAGCAAATTTTTATTTTTCTATTCCCATCCTTTATCACAAAGATTAATCCAAACAGATAAATCTAGTTAACTAAGTTTTATCATGTGTTGTCAATATGGTGATATTCTGTCTAGATTTTCTACTATATAGTCATTAACCCATAGTACAGGCTGCATTTTCTAATCTACCATATCCTGCTGCAAGTAGGTGAGAGGCTGGTAGAAAAGTACAATACCATTTCTATGTCAGTAGACTATAAAAAGAACAAACAAATGTGTTACCACTGAGTCAATTCCAATTCATGGATACCCTATAGGTCAGAGTAGAACTATAATTTTTATAGAAGAGCCCTGGTGACAGTGGTTAAGCACTCAGCTGCTAACTGAAGAGTCAGCAGTTTGAACCCACTAGCTGCTCCCAAGGAGGAAGATGTAGCAGTTGCATTCCATAAGGATTTACAGCCTTGGAAACCCATGGGGCAGTTCGACTCTGTCCTCTGTGGTTGCTGATTCCGAATCAGCTCTATGGACAATGGGGTTTGGGCTTACCCTTTACAGAAGCAGACTGCCACATGTGGAATGGCTGTTGAGTTCAAACTGCTGACCTGTCAGGTACAGTGAACCACTGGTAACTGAGCACTAAACCACTCTGCCACCAACGTTCTTCAGTAAGAGCATAGTCTATGCTAAAACGTGAAGATGTTGAGAGATTAGACATAAAAATATGGATATGAATAAACTATACTGTTCTGTAAGATATTTGCCAGTTACCTAGATTAAAATTTCACAAAACCTAGTTGTTAAATTTCCCCATTTCCTTATTTCACATGTCTCTAGAAAAGTTAAAGGTACAGTAAAGTTTATCTACTATAAGTATATATTATGCTTGAGATCTTGAGAGTATCATAACTTATAAAGGCTTTTGTTCCTGATGTTCTAGAACCCAGAGGATTATAAACAGGCTACCATAACTCTACAGATTCCCTAGTTAGCACAAATGATTACGTCCTAGACTACTAACCAAAGGACTGTGTGGTGTGGTTCAAACCCACCCAGAAGTGTTTGTTTGTTTTTAATCATTTTATTGGGGGTTCTTACAGTTCTTATCACAATCTATACATACATCCATTGTGTCAAGCACAATTGTTCCCACCAACATTTTCGAAACATTTTCTTTCTACTTGAGCCCTTGGTATCAGCTCCCCGCCCCCTCCTCCACCCTCCCTTGATAATTTACAAATTATTATTTTCTTTCATGTCTTGCACAGACCGCTGGTCTCCCTTCATCCCTGTGAGGGGTTTCTATGTAGATAATTGTAATTGGTTCGCCCCCTTATTCCCCCCACCTTCTCCCTCCCATCCTGGTATCACTACTCTCATTATTGGTCCTGAAGGGTTTATCTGTCCTGGATTCCCTGGGTTTCGAGCTCTAATCTGTCCCCAGATTAGAGCTCTGGTCTAGCTGGATTTATCAGGTAGAATTGGGGTCATGATATTGGAAGGAGGAAGCATTAAAGAACTAGAGGAAAGTTGGATGTTTTGTTGGTGCAAGAAGTGCTTTGCTTTTGAAGTATGGCTTGTTGATCTGCTTCCAAAAAGTTACAACCTTGGAAGCCCAATGGAACAGTTCTACTCTGCGCACACAAAGACAGGAGTCAGAATCAGCTCAACAGGAAATCCCCACCACCACTACCACAGCACTAAGATAAAGAGTAGTACCTTCGTACTGACAGGTACACATCTTCTCCTTCAGGAATTGGCCCATGAATTCCTTTCACTATTTTCTTAAATTCTCAGGTGTCAAATAGTTTCCATAATAATTCGTATTGTTTATGGAACTATAAAATTACTTGACATATACCTTTATTACTAAAACAATATGTATGAGTATCTAAATATTCTGGTTTACTCAACAGTCAAAACTATGATATCATACATTGTTCTCACAGAGCATCTACATATTAGTAAAGATTGTTGAGTTCTTGGATGCCAATGAGTCAATTTCAACTTACATTGAACCAACAGGACAAATTAGAATTGCCCCACATTGTTTCCTGGGCTGTAACCTTTATGGAAGAAGTCCTGGTAGGAAAGTCAAGGGAAATAGAGGAAAGAGCTGGGAGGAAAAGGGCATTTATAGAGGTCCAGATAAAGACAGGTACATATGCAAATATATTTATAAATGAGGATGGGGAAATAGATCTATGTGCTTATACTTATAGGGTCAGTATTAAGGTAGCAGAAGGACATTGGGCCTCCACTCAAGTACTCCCTCAGTGCAAGAATACTTTCTTCTATTAAATTAGCATTCTATGATGCTCACCTTCCTGTCACAACCGCTGAAGACAAAGCGGGTGAATAGCTCAGAAGAAACAAAGCCCACATGGAAGAACTTATCAGCCTGTGTGATCACGAGGTGTCGAAGGGATCACTGAAGACAAATGGGTGCATAAGCAAATGTGGCGAAGAAAGTTGATGGTGCCCGGCTATCAAAAAGTATAGTGTCTGGGGTCTTAAAGGCTTGGAGGTAAACAAGCGGCCATCAAGCTCAGAAGCAACAAAGCCCACATGGAAGAAGCACACCAGCCTATGCGATCACGAGGTGTTGATGGGATCAGGTATAGGCATTATCAGAACAAAAAAATCTCACCGTAGTGAATGATGGGAGGAGTGCGGAGTGGAGACCCAAAGCTCATTTGTAGGCCACTGGAGATCCCCTTGCAGAGGGGCCTCTGGGAGGAGATGAGCAATGATGAAAATACAACTTTCCTCTGGTTCCTAAATGCTTCCTCCCCACCCCCTACTATCATGATCTGAATTCTACCTTGCAAGTCTGGCTAGATCAGAGGATGTACACTGGTACAGATAGGAACTGGAAACACAGGGAATCCAGGGCGGATGATCCCTTCAGGACCAGTGGTGTGAGTGGCGAAACAGGGAGGGTAGAGGGAGAGTGGGTAGCAAGAGGGAACCGATTACAAGGATCTACATGTGACCTCCTCCCTGGGGGACGGACAACAGAAAAGTGGGTGAAGGGAGACGTCAGACAGGGCAAGATATGACAAAATAATAATTTATAAATTATCAAGGGCTCGTGAGGGCGGAGGGAGTGGGAATGGAGGGGAAAAATGATGATCTAATGCCGGGGGCTTAAGTGGCGAGGAAATGTTTTGAGAACGATGAGGGCAATGAATGTACAAATGTGCTTTACACAATTGATGTATGTATGGAT